GCATTTTCCATTCGTGTGTAGAGCACTCCTATTTCAGGGGACAAAGGAGTGGGCCACTTAACACAGGGATTCGATTTCCTTCCCACCACAGCCACACTCGGCCTCCCTCCCCTGCCAAGTCTGCTGCTCCTCACTCATGTGCTCCCTCCCCATCTGGAAGCTTCCTCAGGAGCGTGTAAGAGGATAGCACTGTTAGCTGGCCACCGCTGGGTAACCTGAGCCGGCTCTGGAACACAGTGGCAGTGGCCCCTGTGCTGTGCAAGGCAGCCCTAACAACGTGGGTCAGAGTTCCGAGGAACGTCCCGGGTTGTTGGTGTCTTGGTGGGAGTGAGTTTGCTTGTGGCAATGTCTAGGTTGCAAAAATGAACAGAAAGTCACAAAAGGCTAAAAAATACCGTTGGAGTTCAATCAAAGGCCCTGAGGGCGACTCTGAAGGTAGCCTGCCCCATTTCAACAGTCTCCCCAGGTCCTGAGGGAGGGGCGCCTGCCGCCACCTGTGCCCGCCTGCCACCTCCCAGGGACAACTTGCTGTAGCACACAGGTCCTGCCGCAGGCAACAAACCAGGAAAGAACATCCATTTTCCCCCAAAGAGTTGGTGAGAGAGTGAGGCTTCTCTGAACTGCCCTTGTCTCTGCAGGGCCCATCATGGGGCTTGACACTGGGACCAAAGGATTTCTCCTACTTTGTGTGTGTGAGGAAGACTGGCCCTGAGCTCACATCAGTGCCCATCTTCCTGTTTTGTATGTGGGATGCCGCCACAGCCTGGCTTGATGAGCGGTGCACATGTCTACATCTGGGATCCGAACCTGCAAACCCCGGGCCGCCAAGGTGGAGCATGCAAACCTAACCCCCACGCCACTGGGCTGGCCCCTCTCCTACTTTCTAAAAGGCCTGAGTCGGAATACAACTGGAGAGTCACCACGCCATGCAGCAAAGGTGGCTCATCCGACAGGGCAAGCCAAGTCCCAGGCAGAGTGTCGGGGGCAACCTGAGGGGGGCCCCTCAGGAAGGGGGGAGGGCCTCTGCCTGGCCTCTCTGAGGAGCACTGTGCGGCTCCCTGCTGCACAGGGGCACCTGGGCCGACCGCAGCCTCTCAGGCTCATGGCACAGGCTACAGCCGGCCGGAGACAGCCGGGTGGGCCCAGGGTGAGGATGCACAGAACCCTCCCAGGGCGTGGGCGTGTGTCTGGACACCACGAGCTCCGTGAGGAAGCCCAGAGAAGCTGGGGCTGTGATAGGAGGGTGGGAAGACTCTTAAACACATCCTCTCAGGTACTACAATAACCCTGAGAAGCAAAGGGTTTTAAAGAGATTTAAAAATGAGCTCAAGGGCTGGCCCAGTGGCGTAGCGGTCAAGCTCACATGCTCCACTTCAGCAGCCCAGGGTTCCAATCAGGGGTGTGGACCTACATACCGCTCATCAAGCCATGCGGTGTTGGCGTCCCACATTCAAAATAGAAGAAGATGGGCATAGATGTTAGCTCAGGGCCAATCTTCCTCACCAAAAAAGAAGAAGCAGTAGCAGCAGCTCAGAGAGGCTAAGTGGTTTGCTCGAGTTAACCCAGCCAGTAAGTGCCAAGAAGACATTTTAATTCAGTCTGTTTATCAATCTTCCTAAACACTAAAGGAAGCAAAAACTCCTTCGATCCTGACTCAGGACCAGGCCTGTCGTCCCCGGTTGTGGGTTAGCTACAGAATCTTCTGGAAAGTCTTTGAATTCCTCAGAGAGAAGAATATTTTTTTCCCTAATGCAAGCACTTTTGCTTAGGCCTCATAGAGCCTCACAGGTGTGGCTTTGCAGTGGCTGGACCGTGCACTAAATTGGCTCCTTATGAGAACAGTGGGCACCAGCCAGGCCACAGAAGGAAAGAGAGACAGTGGGGTCCTGCGGGCATGAAGACTCCACTCCAGGTCTTCGAGCCCACCGGGAGGGCGGCTCTAGGCTAGCCTTCAGAGAGTGAAAACAGCTGCTCTCTGGTGAGAAAGGATGAACTATGACCTTTTCTGGCAAGGCAAGTCAACTTTGATGGCAGAAGAGGCCGTTCTGGTTTGAACTTGCTTTGGACAACTGTGTGTTTAATTTTATAACCCAGGGGAGGATTGCACAGTTGTTTCCTTGGTCAGAGGCGCTCTTTCTGGAGTGCCGGCCACGCCTCCCTCCTCCGGGCAGGGAGCGGCTGGAGCCTTGGCAGAGCTTTGCTCCCTCTTGGAGGGACTGTTGGGGGCCTTCTCTCTGCCCACCGTCCCCACACGGCCCCCTGGAGACTCCTAAACTGCCCGGCTTAGGCCAAGAAGCACCCCCAGGCACCCCACAGGGGACCCCAAGAGGCCAGCAAGGCTGGGCAGTGACTCTTCTGCCCTTACCTGTCTGAGGCCCTGCTCCCCACGCCCTGGGCCAGGGCCCTCATTCCCCCAGAAGCTGCCCTCAGCACACCCCGCAGAAGCTGCAGGGCCCACCCAGGCCCCGTCAAAACCGACCGCTCTCCACCTACATGTTCCCTTTGGGCTTCTCGACCACAGAACAGCCCATGTCAGAGCTGCGAGGGCTCTTGCGGATTGGAGAGCCCAAGCTCATTTTACGGATCGGGTCCACGGAGGGGACACATTCACAGCAGAACTGGGACATGAACCTTTCCACATCATTGTACACCTCCCAAAGGACTGAGTCACCAGTGATGGGATCTAGGGCCCTATCCGAGGAGAGTTTTGAGCAGACCCTAGACGCCCCTCAAGTCCCCACAGGCCCGCTCTCTCCATCCCCCTCCAGCCCAGGGACCAGCCCACCCTCGGCCCTCCCGGATTTTGTAAGCCCAGCTGTGTTCCATGTCTTTGAGTATCTCAGCTCAAGAATGGAGAAATGGAGTCTGGGCAGACCCCATCTTCACATGCTGGAAGGGAAGTTAAGGTGCCAGGAGGGCACTCACTGGGCCTGGGGCACGCTGGGCTCTGACATGGATTGGAGGGGCCCTGTGCACTGGGGGCCCGGGCCTGGGACATGCTGGGCTCGAACGTGGACTGGAGGGGCTGTGCACTGGTGACCCAGGGCTTCCTGGGAGCTCTGCTTGCTGCCGCATTTAGAAGCAGACATGAATCAGGACACCACAGGAGGAGAGTGGGGGTGGTACCCCACCTCCTCCTTTCTCTAAAGGTCCCTCTGCCCAAAGAGCCCTCATTGGTCACTTGCCTGGTCCCAGCCAGAGTGCTGAAGGCCCAGCTGGGAGGCAGGTGGGAGCATGCACAGAGCATGTGGGTTGGAGCAGATGGTCCTGAGGTTCACCCTGGCTGCCTTGCTGAGCAGTTATTTTTGATGGAAGTCTTCCCTTTCCTGGAACTGGGATGGCGGAGAGGTGGGGGCAGGCAGCAGAAAGTTTGGAGTCCTCTCGCTCCCAGGCTGGGCCAGTTCAGTTTATCTAGTAGGTCGCTCACACCAAAGGACGCTGGTGGCAGCATGGTCCACACTCAGCAAACAGACATAAAGCTCATCCAGGCCGGTCATGCGTCTGCCACAGGGCCTCTGCACCTGCTCTTCCCGCAGCCCGGGGAACTGTCAGCCCAGACAGCAGCCTGCCCCTCCCTTACTGCTCAGGATTATTCAAATGTCACCTCTCAGTGTGGCCTTCGTCTGTCACCTGACACTTCCTTTCCCTCTTCCATGCTTTACTTTTCTCCGTGGCACACATCTTCTAACAGACTTTATATTTTACAAGTTTATTTTGTTTATAATAACAAAACTGCAACCCCCAGAAGGGCATGCTCCCACAGAGGGCAGTCCCTAAGCACGACCCACACTTCTTCACATGGCCCTCCCCGGTGCAGAAATTTGAGAAAGAAAAACTGTGTGCTGAACACTCCCAGAGCCTGGCGCTAAGTCAGACCCGGTGGGGCTGGTGAAAGTTCCCCAGGGGACCCCGAAGCCCGACTCCTTCAAAGAAGCAAGCCCAGCCCCAGAGGACAATGCTACTTTCTGGAGCACCGTGGCTTCCTGCAAATGTTTATTTTCAGTTGTGCTGAATTCAGGGGAGGCTGCCGAGTGGAGTGGCGCAGAAGGAAACAGGCACGATTCCCACCGTCCTCAACAATTTCCCACGACAGCTCCTAAATCCAGGCCAAGGCGCTGTGCTGGGCGCTGAGGGACCAAATGCACGGTCCCCCTACCTCCCGGCCCACCCCCACGGGCAGAGCCCTCACGGAGCTGCCAGGGCAGAGAGGGGCGTCAGGGAAGGGAGGGCGATGTCTGCCCATCTAGGAGCCAGGTGCAGACGCAGGCTCTGTGGAGCCTGAAGCTTATGGCGGGGGAGGGGGGGGGGGGGGGGAGGGACACGCAGCTTTAAGAAAAATAAGTCGAAATCAGGATTATAACATTGCTAGAGCCACTCCACCACCATCACCCCACCACCACCCACCAGGAAGGCTTCAGAAGAGCCAGGGCAAGCGAGGGGCCAGAAGCTTCTGTTCCACCGCCTCCCGGTGAATCCGCCCCTGCCAGGGAGGGCGGCTGCCTGACGCTCGGGTCCCCGCCGCGCTTTTCCTCGGCCTGATCACACTCCTCGGCTTCTCCCACACGGTGAGCTATTAACCCCAGGCCCGGTTTCCTCTTCTGTGCGTCGAGCGGAGAAGGCAGGAGAGAAGGGCAAGGGGCCGAGAGAGGGAAAAACGGGGGCAGCGGACAGAGATGGCAGGAAAGCCCACTTCATCCTAAAGCCCTGAGATGGGTCTTACGACTCCGGGCCAAGTGCATTCACTGCGGGAACGAGACGCAGCCCCGGCAGCAGTGTGCTCCCGGAGAGCCTCCCGGGGCCCCCGCTGCGCCCCGATGGGGGTCCGAATCCGCAGTCCCTCGGGTGGAGATGGAGCTGTGGGGCGCCCCAGAAGCGTGAGCCTGTCTGCAGGTCGCCCGGCTGCCCTGCACGCCCCCCAGCCGCGGCCGCCGCGCCCCAGCCCGCGATCCCGATCCGCCTCGGCGTCCTGGGAGCGCGCTCCCCGCCGCCCGGGCGCTTACGATCGGCGGCTCCCCGGCTCCCGGCTCCGGCGGCGGCAGGCGCGGTCCCTCCGGCTGCCGGCTGCACACTCCCGCCCAGCTCGTCTATCGCCGCCGGCGCTGACTCCGCCCAGGCTCCGAGCGGGGCGGTCCCGGGCCGTCCAGGTTCAGTCCCGCCCCGCCGCGGTTACCTGAGCGCCTGGCAAAGCCCCTTCGCCCCGCTAAGGCTCCGCCTCTGCTTTGGAGGAGAGCTGCTCAAAGTGCCATCCGCAGACCGAGCACAGAGACGGAGCCCAGGAGACTAGGAACCCTTACAGCAACCTGATACAGGGACGTTGTCAGCTGAAGCTAGAAACAATAAACCCAAGCTTGCACGTCTTCTGTATTTCATCTTTCTAGCAATTCACTGTTACTGTATTTTCCACATGTATTGGTCCCGGATGGATGGGGAAATTTAAAAACAAATTTGTCTTTCAACACAAAGAGTCAGCAGCACTAGCCTGGATGAAAGTAGGACCTACTCAGAGAGGTCATCATGATGAGGACTGAGAACTACAGCGCTGCCAGCACCCGGAGAGTAGCTTTTTAGTAAATCCGCTGGGGTTCAGAAGGGGCTCAGGGCCCAGGCCAGTGGCTGCTGGGGCTCTGTGACTTCTGCGTGAATCCCAGACCTTCATCCTTAGTGCTCCAGTCACCGGCCCTGCAGCCAGCGGGGAGGCCTCCTGCCCTTTAACGCTGCACCCTCCGGGGAAGCCCTCTGCGGCCCCTGCAGTCTGTGGCATCTCCGCGCTCCTTCACAACTAGCGGCCGGGGAGAGCCCCCCCACCCCTCAGATCTTTCAAACAGAAGCTCTGCCTCTGGCCATTTCAGCAGGGGATTTAAATTTGTTACTCTTAAAACTGCAGTGATAATGAAAACATTCCAAAATTAGATACTGGTGATGGTTGCATCGCCACAACTCTGTGAATGTACTAAAAACTACTGAATTGTACACTTCAGGGTGTGTTTTTATGGTATGTGAGTTATATCTCAATAAAGCTGTTTGAGTTTGGGATTTGTTTGTGTGTGTTTGTGTGTGTGTGTGAGGAAGATTGGCCCTGCGCTAACATGCGTGTCAGTCTTCCTCTGTTTTGTATGTGGGATGCTGCCACAGCATGGCCTGATGAGTGGCTTGTAGGCTGGTGACTGGGATTCAAACCCACGAAACCTGGCCACCAAGTGTGCAAACTTAATTGCTACCCCACTGGGCCGGCCCCTAAAGCTGCTATTTTTATATAAAAAATATAACCTCACTGTAACCTCACTGCTCACTCATGCATCCTAGTATCCTTCCCCTCCTTGGTTAGATCCTCCAGCCAGCATTAAATATGAAATCTAAGATAGCGCAAGATATTTCAAAGTACAACCTACATATCCACAGCCAATAAATGAATAAGTTACAGGGTCCAACTCTGCAGGGCAAAGTTTAGACAGTCAAATTTTTTCCACTGCTTTCGGTCAAAAGCTCTTGAAAGGTTTAAGGAGCAAAAGAATGGGTATAATGTGATCTTTAGAATGAATTCTATTTAAAAGAAATCAGAACAAAGACTGTTTCTCTGTACAAACTTCTGGAGAGTCTCCAGGTACATCAGGTAGAATGAAAAATAATGTGGGGGGGGGGGGACAATTTTGGATAAAAATTGCAGATCAATTCCTGACTCACCAGGAAGGAAACATCCTTTATGCCAGAAATGCATAATATGAATCTAGTCATGAGTAAACATCAGACAAACCCCAAACTAAGTAACATTCTACAAAATAACTGGCCTGGACTCTTCAAAAATGTCAATGTCATTGTGTTTGCCTCTGGATTCTAAAGCATGTCTTACACGTTTCCAAAGGCCAGGCTCAGATCCATCCCACTGCCGTTTCTTTGTGCTCCCACCTCAAGCTTTCCCTCCACTCTTCTTCTTCTTCTTTTTTTTTTTTGAGGAAGATTAGCCCTGAGCTAACTGCTGCCAATCCTCCTTTTTTTGCTGAGGAAGATTGGCCCTGAGCTAACATCCATGCCCATATTCCTCTACTTTATATGTGGGACACCTGCCACAGCATGGGCTTTCCAAGCAGTGCCATGTCCACACCCGGCATCCGAACCGGTGAACCCCGGGCCACTGAAGTGGAACATGCGCACTTAACCGCGGAACCATTGGACCAGCCCCTCCCTCCACTCTTATTCACTACAGGCTCCTGCCCTGCACAGTCTGCTCTCTGGATGCAACCCACACTTACCAATAAATTCCTTTACCAGATGCCAATAGAAAGATTATCGATTGCACCAGACCTGGTATGTATTTAATTACAGTTAGATTCTCAAAAGGGCATATCACCCACTACTCATTACAAAAGTGTTATTTACTTTAACATTAACAGATTATAAATCCACTGGGACATTAAAGGAGTTGGGGTGGGGATCCCAAAAGGCTGTTTCACAAAATGTCCTAGAGAGAGAGCATTTTGTAGGAATACTAATCACACAGAATTGTTTCATATCTGTGTCTTTTCGTCATTTTTATAATCAAGTATACTTACCAATCATTTGTTAGCATATGGTGCTACCAACAAACCAACCAAGAAATAAAACACAAGCATAATCCCCAGTTTCTAGAAACTTGCCCCTGTATAATGGATAAGACAATTTACAAAGTTATCTGTTAGGAGGTATCAGAAATGACAAAATCCTATGCACCGAGTCATGACAAACAGAAACTAATTTTAGATTTTATATAGATTTCATATTTATAAATAGATGCAAATGAAGAGAAAAGGTGCAAAATGTTGGATTTTTAAGCACTTTCCCATGTCCACAGAGAGGAAGGATTTTTACTCACCAGTCCTGGAAATTCTTTTAAATGAATTCACACTGAATCCCCAACCACTTCTCCCCAGTTTCCTGAAATCTCTGAATACATAACATTCTCAGGACTTCAAGGGCAACGGTCAGCAACATAATCAGGCGCAGATCAAAGGGCAACAGCAGCTTGTCTGTAAACACCAAGTTCAAAAGCAGTAAAGGCCGTCTGGGGCCCCCTGTGGGCCTGCGAGGGACACTGCATTATGACTATGCCTCGCCTGAGTATGAGAATCACTTTGTTCTTGTTTTGCAGGAGTTGGGGGATTGTTTTCTTGTTTTTATTGAGGTCATAATAGTTTAAACATTGTGAAATTTCAGTTGTACATTCTGATTTGTCAGTCACCATACAGATGGGCCCCTTCACCTGTTACGCCCACCCCAACCCCTTCGCCTGTGGTAACCACTAATCTGTTCTCTTTATCCATGTGTTTGTTGATCTTCCACATATGAGTGAAATTGTATGGTGTTTGTCTCTCTCTGTCTGGCTTATTTCGATTAACATAACACCCTCGAGGTCCATCCATGTTGTTGCAAATGGGACAATTTTCTCTGCTTTTACGGCTGAGAAGTATTCCATTGTATATATATACCACATCTTCTCTATGCAATCATCAGTCGATGGGCACTTGGGTTGCTTCCACATCTTGGCTATTGCGAATAATGCTGCAGTGAACACAGGGGTTCATAAGTCTCTTTGAATTCTTGATTTCAAGTCCTTTGGATAAATACTCAGCAGTGGAATAGCTGGTATTTCTAGTTTTAGTTTTTTGAGGAGTCTCCATACTGTCTTCCATAGTGGCTGCACCAGTTGGCCTTCCCACCAGCAGTGTATGAGTGTTCCCTTTTCTCCACACCCTCTCCAACATTTGTTATTTTTTGTCTTGGTGAATATAGCCATTCCAAAGGGTGTAAGGTGGTATCTTAGTGTAGTTTTGATTTGCATCTCCCTGATGATTAGTGATGTTGAACATCTCATGTGCCTGTTGGCGATCTGTATATCTTCTTTGGGAAAATATCTGTTCATATCCTCTGCCCATTTTTTAAAATTTTTTTTATTGAGTTAATGATAGGTTACAATCTTGTGAAATTTCAGTTGTACGTTAATGTTTGTCATTCGTGTTGTAGGTGCACCACTTCACCCTTTGTGCCCACCCCCCACCCCACCTTTCCCCTGGTATCCACTAAACTGTTCTTAGTCCACATTTTTAAATTCCTCATAAGAGTGGAGTCATACAGAGATTGTCCTTCTCTCGCTGGCTTATTTCACTTAACATAATTCCCTCAAGGTCCATCCATGGTATTGCAAATGGAATGATTTTGTTCTGTTTTGCAGCTGAGTAGTATTCCATTGTATATATGTACCACATCTTCTTTATCCAATCATCTGTTGATGGGCACTTAGGTTGCTTCCATGTCTTGGCTATTGTAAATAATGCTGCAATGAACATTGGGGTGCATAGGACTTTTGGGATTGCTGACTTCAAGCTCTTTGGATAAATACCCAGTAGTGGGCTGGCTGGATCGTATGGTAGTTCTATTTCTAATTTTTTGAGGAATCTTCATACTGTTTTCCATAGTGGCTGCACCAGTTTGCATTCCCACCAGCAGTGTATGAGGGTTTCTTTTTCTCCACAACCTCTCCAACATTTGTTACTATTAGTTTTAGATATTTTTGTCATTCTAACGGGTGTAAGGTGATATCTTAGTGTTGTTTTGATTTGCATTTCCCTGATGATCAGCGATGATGAGCATCTTTTCATGTGCCTATTGGCCATCCATATATCTTCTTTGGAGAAATGTCTGTTCATGTCTCCAGCCCATTTTTTGATTGGGTTGTTTGATTTTTTGTTGTTGAGTTGTGAGAGTTCTTTATATATTATGGATATTAAGCCTTTGCTCTGCCCATTTTTCGATCGGGTTGTTTTTTTGCTGTTGTTCAGTTGTGTGAGTTCTTTATGTATTTTGGAGATTAACCCCTTGTCGGATATATGATTTGCAAATATTTTCTCCCAGTTGGTAGGTTGTCTTTTCGTTTTGTTTCTAGTTTCCTTTGCCTGGCAGGAGCTCTTTAGTCTGATGAAGTCCCAGTTGTTTATTTTTCCTTTTGTTTCCTTTGCCCGAGTAGATACGGTATTTGAGAAGATCCTTCTAAGACTGATGTCAAAGAGTCTACTGCCTAAATTTTCTTCTAGGAATTTTATGGTTTCACATCTTAGCTTCAAGTCTTTGATCCATTTTGAGTTAATTTTTGTATCTGGTATAAGATAATGG